TTCCAAGCGCTTTTCAAAACAAACGATGTGCAATGCTTTTTCCAAATTAGGCAATCTAGTCTATACTTGTTTGTTGTGGGCATAACATAGTAATTCTAGGCTAATAACCGGAATAAGAACACATAACTTTTCAAAATTCAGATATCACGCTTAGTAGAGGCGGTCTTCGGACCGGGCGAAAGGGGTGCTCATAGCTGACCTTCTCATCGTACCCAAGCTCCCGAGCCGAGACAACTCCGGTGATGACGGACATGTGGCCTCGGCACCGAGTCAGGGTTTCCTAAATTTCCCCATTTTTAAAAATATTTAGGTGGAGGACTCTATATCTGGCAAAGAGTTCATGTTTGGCACTTCTTTTCAAAAAAATCTGTTTCTCAAAACGATTTGCCAGATTTGGACTCTTTGTGGTTCAAGATTAAGATTCGTGAAACAAAATCGAGAGTCCAACTGTAGCGGAGGCCCCCCGGGCGTGTTACACTCACCTCAAGGCGTGATAAACATAATACCATGGGGTATTCGAGCCTGAGCGAGTATGTGGAACTCAGTGAATGATTAAAGAAGGTATGAGCACTTAAGGGGAAAAGTATTAAGTGCGCAGTTCCACCATCAAAAATAAGAAAACAGGAGGGCCACGAATGTCATGTCTTCTTAGACAAAGACTTGGCAATGATATATTGCCCTCACAATGATGCACTGGTTGTCACTCTCTGCGTTCAAGGATTTACGACGTCAAGTGATTTTTGATCACCAAGGGAGAATCATGTGAGATAATGTATCATGGAACTTTTCAAACAGTTGAAACTGGAGGACAAAAAGACTTTGGCACCTGCCGATTCTCCCCGATCGGATTTAACTCAATGCCAGGAGTGGCCAGTTGGCAAGATTTTATCCTCCCAGTCAGAGCAGGAAGCCTGACGAAACAAAGTGGGGAATTGGGGTATTGAAAGTTCCCTCCACATTACAACATTAATCTTGCGGAGGACATGCTGCACGCCATGCGATCAGATAGCATCAACCTACCATAAAGTAATGTGGTCCCCAACGAAGCCGGAAGTAATTGAAGAGGTCTAGGAGACCAAATTATGTCCAACAATGCTTCGTCACAGTAAAATGGCAAAGTCGAGCTGCCAAAGGGTTGGTTAGATGGTTGGAAAAACCTACGAGCAATGAATTGTTTGCAGATATTGGCCAAAAGCCGCTGAACAGAAGGCAGTGGAAAGACTTGTTACAGGTAAGAATATAGATGGGATAAGAGACCCATATATTCCTTTTGCTTTGCTCATCTATGTCCACGGCACCGAGAGAAATAGAGGTCATGGGAATTTCTTTAACCTCTCAACATCGAAGTCAGTGTTTGCTCTGACGCTCTATGAAATGCCTAGCACTCGACCCAAACTTCATCTGTCACCAATTGAATGTCCACCCAACTGCAAGACCAATTTCATACAACGCAACTCGCAGATCAGCACTCCACCAACGCCGAGATAGTGGCAGAAGGAAGTGGAAACCTTCTAGAGGCTAAGAGCTATCAGAGATGGTACAACTATCCCAATGTGGATTATCCAACACAGTAGTGTGCAAAGAAGAATGGAAAATGGCTGTGTCGTAGTGACTACAAAACAGTCAACAAGGCTGTGTCAAAAGAACAGCATTCCCCTACCCACAGATAGACAACCCTGGTAGACCTCACGGCAAGACACAACCGACTTAGCTTTTTTGATGATTACATAGGTTAATCATCAGATGCGCTATGTATATAACCAAACCAGGAGGTACACATCTTTTTACAACCCCAAGAGGTTTTATGCTCACACCACATAATATATATAAAAACACACGGCAACAATTTCTGGGCGGATGAATCACCAAGATATTCGAACCATTGCTTAGCAGAAACAATGGAGGCTTACATCGACGATATAGGTAATAGTCAAAAAGCAAGCGATGAGAATGACCATCTAAGGACCGAGGTTGAGATGTTTTTTAGATCCTAAAGAAGCACAAGCTTACACCTTAATGCATCTAAGTGTGCGTTCGGCATAGATCACGGGCCAAAGCAAATTCCTAGACTTCCCCATGGTGGCCAACCGAGGTAGAGAGGCAAACCCTCCTCTCAGATCAAAGAAAACAATTTAGGATAGCACACACACTCAGTAAAGAGAGAATTCCTTCGAGCGTATGACAAACCCAATAGTTGCGCTCTCACCTCGGTCTGCAGAATGTCGATTCTCTCTCAATATATAAAGCGGCAAAGTTTGAGTGAGATGAATAACACTGAGAAAATATAAAGAATACATGTCTCTCACGCGTGGCTAGTGACCCCAATACCTTCGAAAGAGTGTGCTGGTGTATCACACCACACACGTCAATTAGCGCTCAGAGTTATTGTAGAGCAAAAGGAAATCCAACATCTGCCCATCTTTTATGTCAGCAAGACATTACTGTGGGTCTCAGAAACCAGGTACTTACCCACTGGAGAAACTGGCCTTAGCCTTGATGATGGCCTCAAGGGAAGTTGTTCGTACTACTTTTTCATGCCCACACCGATAATCGTCCTCACAGCTTTTCCATTAAAATCTTTGTTTGAGGAGGGCGAAACTTTTCTGGGTGAGATCTTTGGAAGTGGGCAGTAGAGTTGGACAGTTTGATCATCAAGTTTCAGCTCCAGAACCACGATAAAAGCCCAAGTTTTGGCAGACTTTGTCGCAGGGAATTCACACCAGGAAGTCATTCACGTCTGCCCAATTGACCTTAACAGGTACAACCGAAATAGGGCATTGGAAAGTGGCGCCGTAATAGCGCAACCGCCTAATACCACACTCACACTATATTATATTCCAGACAGCACTGAGTAAACAAAAGAAGGAGAAACAAAAACAGCTGCACCAACACACACTCACTCAAATAGAGTGAGAGAGAGAGCGTGTGTAGCGAGAGAGATAGCTAAGGGTGGCAAAAAATGTTATGAAGAAAACGAGCGGGAGCAATATCAGGACCTCCATATGGCATCATTCCCACTCTATATATGTGTAAGCTATTCGTAGGAGAGATGTGGAAGCTCTTGGTGACGGAAGCATCCAACAGGCACGGAGCAGCGACTTGATCATAAGTCCTTATCTTACCAGATGGCCAGTAGTGGGAACAACACCATGTGAAAACATATAAAATAGAAAAGGAAACCAAAGAGTATACAAGACAAACAGATAAGTCACGAAAGAGTGAATGTATATATATAGTCACACACTTGGCTTTCCAAGCAATAAGCGGAGTATGAGCACTCTTGGAGGACGAATAGCACTCTACATATATTTAACAAGGACCGATATATATATGGTTTACAGTGACTCACAGCGTGTGAAGCGCGAGTATATCGAGGCGATACAACAAAATATAGGTATGGCTATAGACAAGAGTTAGGGTCAGGAAAAGAGGTCATTGAAGTCGAAGCAGACGGCATAGAGTATAGTATTGGCAGTTGAAGAAAACAGCCAGAGCAGATGAACTACAGGCCTTTGCTTCAATGCCTGATGAACACCAGCCCACATCCACTAACTGATCGACTTCTTACCAGACAAGCATTGAAGAACCTGAAGTAGAAGAAGTATGTTGCGCCGACTAGGCCCGTTCATGGATGGATCCATTATAAATATACACACACACTTTGCCCGTGCACAGTAGAAAGAAGACCCACACCAGATTAGAGCAATTTCAGCAACGATTTTGGCTCTTTTTTTTTTCCCCCCCCATTTTTTTCAAAATTGGGGGGGCCCTTTGGTAAAAACCCCCAAAAAAAAAAGGAAAAAAATTCCCTTTCCCAAAAACCCAGGACATTACTTAGAAGTGCTTCCATCCCAGTAGCGTCAAGACATTCCTGTTCGAGATTCACGAAAGGCGTTATTTGCGGAATTCCACCAAGCGGAGAGATCATTGGCTTACAGACCAAATTTCGCCAGGGATATATGGTGGGCCTTTTAATTGCCAAGGCAGGATTCGGGGAAGGGAAAATTATTTGTCAAGGAAGTGCGGAAGAAAATTTTTGCCCAAAAGTTTCGCACACCAAAATTCATCAGCCAGGCCAGAAGAGCTTTTACCTTTAAACTTAGGCCCATTGGCCTTTTCGCAATGGTGGGGCTTGGACATTAATAGGGACCACTTCCAATAGGATCTCTCTCTTTTTTGGGAAAATTATTTATAAGTCCTATTAGGGAGACTTATGCTACATATGGTCCTACTAAGAAACTTATGTTCCCATAAGTCCTGTGTGAAGTTTGTTGACACATTTACCCTCAATATTAATTGTTAATATCATAAATAATGATAAAACCATATATAGGAAATTGAATGTTACCATAGATTAAGTTTGCGAAACATAACGTGACACCTACATAAACGTAACGTAACGTGTCATGTTACGTTTCGCAAACTTACTAGGTTTTTGATTTTTTAAATTGAATGTAAAAATGTTACTTGTTCGTGTATTTTGAAATTCACATTCATATAGATATGATCTATGGTAGGAAATTGAATGCTACCATAGATTAAGTTTGCGAAACATAACGTGACACCTACATAAACGTAACGTAACGTGACCATATCAGATGGGACATTACATAAACGTAACGTGACGTGACATCTACATAAACGTAACGTAACGTAACGTGACACCTGCATAAACATAACGTGACACCTACATATACGTAACGTAACGTGTCACGTTACGTTTCGCAAACTTACTAGGTTTTTTATTTTTAAAATTCAATTTCCTACATATGGTTTTGCCATTATAGTGTATAATAGTATATTAATACCATTTATTTACAACTCATAGGATCTTGTGGAATACATTCCTATCTAAATAGGACTTGAAACTCTATAAGAAATTACACAGGACTTGACCTAGCATTAATATCTGAAATATGACTTATAAATAAGTCTCCCCATTATTTATTTTTAAAAAAATTCAAAATCAATTGCTAACCCAGATAATGTTAGAGGTGGTGGGTTCTGATGTGTGTGTTGAAAGAGTATATGTGAGTGTATGTGTATTTATTTTTTTGATAGGCAAAGTAAAATAAAAGAGTGTTTGGAGAGAGGAGCGAAATCTATTGACAGTGGGGGTGTAATTGTGGGTTATGTGACGTAGGAAGTTGGGGATTTGGGTTGTCAAGTTTGGGATACCAAAACTGAAACTTGGGTTGAAGATTTCTAGTTGTCTGCAGGCTTCTGGGTGACCAATAACAACCAATAACAAATTAATGGCAAAATAATCGTATTATTCAATCTAAAATCACAATCAATCATAATATTCAGTCTAAAAACAGAATAATGACATTGAAACTGAAGGGATATCAGATAACTTACCAGTGAGAGTCCACGGTTCCACCGTCCACGCCAACCAGCTCTGACGAAGTCCAACAACAAAGCTTCTCCGTTTCTTCCCTCATCTCTTCGCTCCTCTCCGCTCTTTCGAATCGCAACAAGTCTCTCAGATTAGTTGTTTTCTTTTCTTTTTTTAATCTTAGTGCTTTGTTTGAACAAGCTTCTCTAGCAAGCCTTATAGTTTATATATTTGTAAAAGTTTCATATTTTACACTTTGACCCATTAAAGTTTCTAAAATTTTTCTTTCATCTTGACCTAATTTAAAAATACATATACGTGAAATTTAAAATAGATTATTATATATGTTAACTAATTCCAAAAAAAAAAATTCCAATTAGTTTAAAAAATTGGGGGGGCTACTCTATATAATTTTGAAATTATCTAAAAAAAAATTGGGAGTGCAAACTCCTATAATTTTAAATTATTTTAAAATTTCTAGTATAATATATGACATTTTTCAAATTTTTGGGGGTGCGACCGCCCCTCTCCGCCCCCCTAGATCCATCATTGGTTGGCAGAGTCCAAGAATGTGATGGCCAACCTTGAAATGGGTTGAGTCACAGATGAAGTGTTCTGGATTCTCTTCCATGAGTTCAGTTGCTTTGATAGGTCTTGAGAGGGCAAAGATGAAGAAGAAGAGGAAGAAGAAGAAGAAGTGAGAAAGCAAATTTGGAGGTGAGCGAGAGAAAGATGGAGAAGAGAGAAAAAAATGGATTTTGAGAGGGTAATTTATATGTAAATTGGGCCGAGCTGGGTAATGGGCCATTCTGTGGGCCACAGTAAGGACTAAGTAAAAGGGCCTTGAAGTTAGCCCGGTCCAAAAGAGCTTTGTAGTTAGCTCGATCGGCATGGTTAGAGCGGCGACAGTTAGTTCGGCCAAACCATATTGAGCCGAGGTATTTTGGGCCGTTTCTCAAGACCTTGCTGTTGAATAGCTCGGTCTAGGCACACTATGGATAGCACGGTCTCAACAGGTGAAACTGAAGTACAAGTAACAGAGGAGAGAACCGAGCAAGCTAGAGCTCGGTCATTTTAGCCAGTTTAGCATGGCTGTTTTATCCCAATCGTTTTGTCATACTATCGAAGGAAAACCATCTCACTTGGTTTA